CGTGCGCGGTTCGGGAGTCGCGGAGGAGCGCGGGGGCAGCGGCTCTGCCGCCTCGCTGTCTTGCTGCGCCGTGCTGCGCTGGGACCTCGGCTTGCCTGCAGTGGGCTCGGAAGCGCGCTGAGAAACTCGCCAAGGGGGCTTCTTCCGAGCAGATAAACGGCTGAAGTTCGGCCTCTTTCGCCCCGTGTTGAAGTTGTTGCTCTTTATTGCTGTCCATTCTTCTTGCAAAGCAAGAGTGGATTGTCAGTGCTTGGAAATTCTAACGCAAGTAATTCTGAGAAGGGAACCTTCTGGGGCTTTTCTAATGCCTTGTAACGGTCAAAAAGAGTGAAGCCCGACTTCAGAATATCGGATAGTTCAGTAACAGTGAATCTCTCATTTCTGTGCTTTTTCCATCAGCACATTGGAGTTGTTGCTTGGTTTAGTTTTCAGAGCTGTGAGGTATATAAGTCATTTTGGGGCAAGCCTTTTTTTTTTTTTAAGTGTTAACTTGAGACTTGTTGGTGTTCAGGGAAAGAAATCTTGAATTTTGTCATGACACTCTACTTGGATAATACCAATCACTTCTTGTGTGCAGTTCTTATGAAAAATGCTTATATGTGGCATGGCTCTTGCACATAATTATAGAGGTGATAGCAGGCCTGTGGTAAACAAACAGGAATTCTGATGGAAACATAGCATTATTCAAATTAGTGTTTTGTTGATAGTACAAAGTGTACAGATTGCACAGAGTGAGATCAAAGATCTGTATTACTCTGTATTTTGTCTGTGACAGTGGCCACCACTGAATGCCTGAAAAAGAATAAAAGCACAGAGTAATTATACAATGATATTTCTCTCGCTGTGCTCTTCTAGTCTTCAGATAGTTGTGATTCAGAGCCACAAGGGGATGTTATTGTATTTAGTGAAGAGCTTATTCTGTAAATTTGTTAGGATTTTTTTTCCTCTCTGAACACTGCAAGACTTAGGTTCTATTTTATTTTTCTGCTAGCATCTGCAGCACTCTGTAGTAGTAGCTTTCATGTCTTAGTATTGTGTGAACAAGAGCCTTTGCTCAGAACTCACTGTATAGTTTGTTTGACTCTTAAATCTTGTTTTGGTGAAGACAGTGATAGTTACTCTCTGTTCGCTTTGTCCATTTATGAATTATTTGTCCTTTATCATGTCTCCTCTTTTGGCCACTCCTCTTCAATATGAAGAATCAAATTCAATCTACTTGTGTGTGCTAAATTATACAAAAAAACTTACTTGAAAATACAACTGGGTGAGAGTTGTCAGCAATGGAATTTCTTCTAAAATTCTGGGTTTGACCTGGTGCCCTTACATGGTGTTATTTATGCCAAATATTGGGAGACTTCAAGTGAATTTAATGTATGATATCTGTATAAATTGAGGAGCTGAATGTAAATACTCTGGTAAAATATGAAATTTAAAGTAGTTTTGTAAAAAATAAATAAATAAAAAAAGGATAATCATGTTTATGAGTAATAGCACTTCAGCCCAAGGGAATAGTAGTCTGAAAATAAGGTTAGAATGCCTTGTTAGTTAAGCTTTTGAGTATAAGCTTTCCAGAGCTCTGATTGTGAAGGGAACATGCATTATTTGTGAATGTACAAGTGGGGAAAAGATGAGAGCAAATGGGGAAGTGACTTGCTGCTTACATATGATGCAATTTTGGTATAATATTCTCAGTTCTGGAGTTGGGACTAACAGTTTAGAGTCTTGAAGAGCTGAAGAGATTTCTTTATGCTGGTTACGCGTCTGAACAGCACAGTTTGTACAGTTCCTACAGCAGTGCCTTTAAGAGAGGGTTAAGGATTTTCCTGCATGTCTGTATGCCTTAAAATAAGTGTGTTTTGTTTATATATGCTTATGGTTGCTCTGCCTAACTTGAATATAGGAGACTGGATTGATTTTGTTGTTATTGTTTTTGTTTGTTCTGAAAGCACAGGGGAAGAATCTGTTTTAGTGAGAGAATTAAGGAAGTCTTCACTCCTGAGATTTGAGAGATTTAAAACTGTATCTTCAAGGGGAGAAAATATTAAAGTGCCAGTGATCCAGTACATAATAAACACAAAATGGCATGTTGAGGTTGAAAAAACAAGAGTCTAAAAACTATTAAAATCGTTATTGGGGGAGGAAATATGTCCTGTAATACTGAGTTGTTGTTGTTGTTGTTATCTGAAACTTGAAATTCGAGATTAGACAGATGCTCTGTATGCTCCAGCTGCTCTTAATGTTTGAATCATGAGTGTTTCTCCTATGGCCTGTACTATGCAGAAGGTCAGATTTATAGATGAGCATAGTGTTCCCTTTAAATCTTTTAATTGACAAAATTGATGGTGATGAATGCCAGGAAACTGTGAACAGGTTTGCCTGAATGTTTGTTCTTAGATGTTCAGATGTCTCTTGCATTGTCCTTGGGTCAAGCTCTAGTAGTTCTTAAAATGGCCACCAGACCTGCATTTCCGCGTAATAAGCTGTGTCCTCTGTTTGGAAAGAAACAGGTGGCATACTTCTGGGCTTTCCGCTTGCTAATCGTATTTGATTGCATTTTATTGTTCAGTTATAACTTCTTAGTACCTTGTGTCATGCTCATAATTGTCTCTCTGGGCAAGCTTCATTCTAGTTCTTGTTGGAAATGTCTTACGAGACAGTGCAGTGTGAACTGGAGACTACGCAGTGATGGCATCTTAAGCAAAAGTTTTTGGAACATGAAGTTCAAAAGCATTTTTCCCTTCTCAGGTGACTTTGGCTTTTTCTTTCAGGTGTCCTGAAAAATGGCTGATGATATTGATATTGAAGCAATGCTTGAAGCTCCTTACAAGAAGGTGAGAAAAATATGCCGGTGAGGTCCTTTTTACCTTAATTTAGCATTATTCATGAAACTACTGCTGAACTGTAAACTAACATCCCTGGAGCCCTCATGATTTATCTTATTGGAGATGCATTACATGTAACTTGCAAGTAAATATATGCTGTTAATGTAATTATATTGTGCAGTAGTTTCACTTCAGCGTGATGAATAAATGCCCATCTATCTCTCTTTGTAGACTTGCCTAACGATATCTCACCTCTACTCCCATGAATTCACCTTTGATTCCAGTGTGAACTGTCAATCATAAGGTAGTAATTGAGTGACGTATCGCTGTACCGTGGTCCCTTAGGTTTAAAAAAAAAAAAAAAGGAAAGGAACAAAAAAAAGAAAAAAAGAAAACTCCCGAAACAAAACCAATCAGAAAAACAAAACGAACAGGAAACAAGCAAAAGCCTCTCCTAAAATTGCCAGGTCCAGTTTGGTATAGCAACAAGGTGAATGCAGTGATTTGGGAAAATAGCAGGGTTCCAAGAATAACCTTTTCACCAGTCCCATGGCAAGTAAATATTTGAACAGTCTGCTCTGTGCCAAGAGGAGTGAGACTCATTTTTAATGCGGAAGACTGGTGGTGGTTAATCTCTAACAGGGCAGGTGGAAATCAATTGCTGAGTGAACGAATTTGCCTAAATTCTTGGATCCCTGAGTAGAACATTCTTAGCAAGGAAAAGACAGTATCACAGCCTGCGGTATCGTTCTAAAAATGTCCTTGTATTCTTCTGTCCTAATTGTTCTTAATTAAGAAATGCCAACTTCGATTCAAATTTTTGATTGATTAGTGTAGTGATGTAATAGCCTTTTAACTAAACCAGCAGTAAATGAATACTGTCTTTTTTGTTTTTCACCAAATGGTGGTGAAGTGTTAACATTATGCATGCTTTAGCACTGGTTTCACAAGAAATGTGTACAAAGCTTAAGTCGCTTAGGAGTTGTACTTTTGATGTAACTAATGTGATTAAATTGTAAAGCAAGTATATAAATTATATGACAGCTATTGTTAGTTTGTTCTGTAGTGTTTAATGCAATCATGTCTTGAATTTTGGATGAGCATTTGTAAGTTATAAATGTGTATATTTAGTTGATATAATATTTAACTTACATTAAAACTTGAAGAGAAAAATGTAAATTGTTATGTTAAAATTCTTGTATCCTGGTTTAACATGGATATTTTCCATGTAAACAGGTATGGAAATAGGGACTGTTTAGGCTGGACTGGTGGATTATTGATGCCTTTCTTGGGAGTCGACGTTACTAAAGCAGTGTGAATCCCTGTTTGCTTCAGGGCGAGATGTGTGACAGAGGTGGCATCAAGCTCTTACAACTCTCCAAGGAAAATGAGCGAAGATCTCGGGAATGACATCGGTCACAGGAATCGATAGTGGCTGGCTGCTAGCCCAGCCACTGGGGCTTAGGCAGAGATATAGCCGTGGTACTGATCAGAGGGGCACACAAACCTGAAACCTCTTACATTTTATAGAAATAAACTTTTAACCACTTGAGTGCTGAATTCTACAGGATAACTTACTCTCTAAACCATGTAAGGAAGTACCTACAGTTAATATACACTCTTAAACGATGTAATTCTTGCATTTTGTAATTGTTTGACTTAAATTTAAGCAGCGAAGTGGTTAAACATGCCTACCTAAATTTTCTAAAGCTTTCCACATTAAACTGTAAAAAAGTAATTTAGTATTAAAATTTTTGTTTTGTATTTTCTTATTCCTATTCCCATTACCCTTTGACCACTTGAAATGTTTCCACTTCGTCCTCACGATGTTCTTCTATCAACCCTGCTTAGGATGAGAACAAATTGAGCAGTGCCAATGGCCACGAAGAACGCAGCAAGAAGTAAGCATTTTGTTTATCTTGCATGTGATAGGGGGAATTGCTGTTTGTAAACTTCATAGCACATGTCAGTAGTATCCAAGCAAATAAAACAGAAAAGCTTGAGCTTTGCGGTTACAGGGATTCTGAAATTGTCTTTTATTTACCAGCATAGTTAGATCATTATCACTGATGTCATCGAAGTTACAGAAACATTTAATTTCTTAGCATCAGATAAAAATACAGACGTGGTAGGTCCAGCATGATTCATCTGCATTTTAATTATGCAATTTATTTTACATTGAAAGATATATTTGCTTTGCCATTTTATTTAATCCAAAACAATCTGAAGAATTTAAATATACTACTACGTTATTGAAGAATTTTATTGTTGAAGACTCTCCCTGCCCCCTTTCAAAAAAAAAAAAAAAAAAGCCTTGTGGTGATTTTGGGGCTAGTTTTATAACAACCTGAAAAATGTGAAGCCTAATGCTAACATCAGGCTTCATCTGGAATCTAAAAAATCTAAACTTGACTGTAAACTAGATTTGCATTCTGAACAACTGCGATCATTCCATTTCACTAAATACAGAGACTGCGCACAGCCAATAAAAATGGGGTCTCCTAGTATTTTTAAGTTCTGAGTTTTTATCGGTTTAAAATTACATACGTGACATGTAAAGCTGTGCTTGTGTTTAAATGACTGTTCCCAAAATACAATCCGTGATTTGAGAAGGAAAAGTTAATGTTTTATTAACTTTTAAAAAGAGTTATGAGTGTGTTTAATAGTAGAATGCTTAGAGTATTAGAATGCTTTCTGTCTCATTTCCTGAGTTACTATAGTCTAACATCAATGGGATCCCATCTGTTGAGTAGAATTGTTTTTGATGTAGTTGTCTTTCGACTCATGATCCCACTTTCAGATCGTATGCTGACTGTTTTGTTTACGTGGTTGCTGGCAGAATGCACTCTGCTGAATAGTAAGGTACATACAGGCTTTGCAAGACTTATGTTTTTCTCATTGGTTAAATGTGCCTGATAGTTCTGCCCAGTATAATCGTGAATGGAAGTTTTTTAGATAACGTATACTAGTTTGGAGTGTTTGCCTGAAAAGCTATAACTGATAATGGATATTTAGAAATGGCTCTAACACTGAGCAACAAGTGTAACCAGAGTTGTGTACTTTTGCTTCTCAGGAGAAAAAAGAGCAAGAGCAGAAGTCGAAGTCATGACAGGAAGAGGAGCAGAAGCAAGGAACGCAAACGAAGTCGAGATCGCGAAAGGAAAAAGAGCAGAAGCCGGGAAAGGAAACGCAGCAGAAGCAAAGAACGCAGGCGCAGTCGTTCTAGAAGTAGAGATCGCAGATTCAGAGGCCGCTATAGAAGTCCCTAGTAGGTTATTTATGTAGAGTTGTATTTGTGCCATTTCTGTGTATGATGTGAAAGCTTAAGCTTTAACTGTGTGCTTTCTAAATTGGTACTTCATCTCAAAAGAGGGATGGGGGGAAAGGTTGAAGTGAGTGTCAATGGATGTGGAATGAGGAGGATGGATGCATATCTTTTTGCTATCTGAGGTAGACAGCAAAGGCAAGTGAGGTGAAAATGTGCAACTGTTTAGAAGTGGAATGTGAAAATTTATTATAGAATTTAAATCTTGAGTAAATATTCCAAGTGCTATAATTACCTTCATCTTATGAACGTGAAGGTTTAACTCTTAAGAAAAGAGTAGTCTATGATTTGAGGCTTATGACTCACCTTTTGCCTGTGTTCCTAAAGCTGCAATGAAAAAGGGGTGGGGTTTTGTTGTTGCTAGGTATTAATACTTACTACTTAGATCGTAAACTTGTACCCCTATTTAGTAGTATGTTGGTTACATTTTTCATTTGAACATAACCTTTCTTAGTTAATTTTCTTATGTTTTAGCTTCTAGTCAAATGTGTTGTTTTTACTGGGGTGCTGCTTACATGCATGTTTGCAATAGTGTGGTGAGTGCTTTTTGCACTCTGTGTTTTGTCTCAGTAAGGCCTATCTGTAACATATTTGCCCTGGTTTTCTTGGACTTGTTTAGTGGGCATAGAAGATAATGCACTTGAGCTCTTCAAATCCTTGCTTTTTAGCTTGAGGTAGAATTTCTGTTGCAGATTTTTCATCGTAGTTGTAAAGTGCTTTTTAAAGCTCTGCTTTTTTTGCTCATCGTATTTGCTCTAAAATTCTGGTGGAAGTTTTTTATTTTGCCCTTCCTTTGTCTCTGCTTTCAAAAAAAAGCAGAAGAAAAAAAAATGGCTGTGTTACATGGCTTTCAATGATTACCCTGTGCTGCTGCATGTTGTCTTTTGCCTGGGTCTCATCTCAGCTGTTACTGAATCTCAGAATGCCCCACTCATGTCAGAAGTGTGCACTTAAAGGTGTTTTTATTCATGGCACGTATTGCTGCCCGTGAGCAATTTCAAGATGATTGAGAAGATGCTGTTTCACTTCTGATGTTCCACAGGCATGTGCAGTTTTCAGCAAAGTGGATCCTTCCCTAGGTGGTCGCTCCTGGATCAGGAGCGCGTTCTTTTGTTACTTACAATGACAACAAAAATGCCTGGGCTCAGAGTCTCATTTTGCACCAGTCACCTGGAAGTTGGCGTTCTCATACTGAAAATGTACTATAGCTCTGGGCATAGTCCTCAATCCAGCTTTTTCTTACCTGCGCTGATCATTCTACATAATACTCCACGTTTCTGTAAAGCTGGGAGAAGGTTTTTGAACAGATTCAGCACTTCCTCTGTGTTCCTCAGTTTTACATGCTTGGAGATTATAGAGCACGTCATCTCTCTTGCTTTGTCTCTTATATCAGGCCTCACCTTTAGAACTGCTCAGGGCTTTAGCTCTGAAGAAGTTGGCAGATCTGGATAGTCTGTTTTCCACAGCCCTTTTGTTGCTGTAATGCTACAGGAACAACTTCGGATGTGCCAGTGCAGCCATTTGTGCTCCAAACTGCCTATCAAACAGAGGACCCTTGATTGACCCTTCCAGAATTAGAGCCTGCCATTCCTCTACTCCAGTGTGGTATCACCAGGTTATATATCCATCATTTATCTGATCACTTAACTGGGAGAGTGCGGTGACTCCAGGGTGCTGATGTGGTTGGTTGTGGTCCTGTGTTCACCTCATTACTTGGTGAACTAATAGATTCTTCACCTGGAGAAATTTGACAGCTTTAGTTTCGCGACTTCTTCATTGTTCTTACGTTCTTCCATAGCTGAGGGTTTCTGAGGTGTTAGAGACCGCTAAGGATATAACAAAAACAGTCAGATATTCTAGTCCCCTTAAAGAGCTTGGCAAAAAGTTGTTTTGTTTTTTTTTTTTTTCGATTTGACAGTGTTGTGTTTGCAGCTGGTGCTGAGTTGCTGGATTAGGTCAGGCAAATAGAAATTTAGCATTAAGTTCAATTAGTTGTGTAAGGTGTGGGGGGGGCTCTCCCACAAAACAGCATTTCCCCTGGCTTTTAAGTGGCCAATAGCTGGGTAATCCCCAACATACAAGTGAACTACAGCCGGCTGGTGGGTGACATCTCTTAAACTTATTAAGCATTCTTTGTTTGAAATAATTTCAGCAGTTCGATTTTAATCATATAAATGCAAAGATGACTCCAAGATTTCAATTTTGGCCCAGGAAGCACCAAAAGAAAGACTTCCTACTGGGAAAGAACAAGTATAACTCAAAGGTTATCTCTGTATATTGAAGAGCTGTATAGTAAGTAGATGTTTTGTTTGGAGGATAAATCTTTAGTTCTGGAGCTGAAATCTTTTGCTTCACCAGCCTCCTTTCTTGAGATACCCCTGGATGTACGAAAAATAGTAATTTTATATGAAGAAGCAGCCACTGTTGGCAGCTTTGTCAAGTCTGTGTTTTACAGGTAACAGAGTAAAAGGATCACCCAGCAGCTGGAAAATGAGTCTGGACTTTTATCTTTTGATCCTATTAACACAGTTCAGAATAGGTGTTACTACAGCTAGTGATTGGTGTAGCTGATTACATCATCCAGTATTTTCTTGGGGAATTAAATGCTAAGTTTTACTCCTTCCACACCCTTATCTTATCTCAATTAAGACATTTTCTTTAAACTCCGAGGTCTTTTTGTCATGGGGAGAAGTCTTGCAAAAGTTCCTCTGCAGTACTGGGGAAAGGAATTTTAGTGAAGAGGATTCTGAAGGAAAAGGAGAAGTAAGACTTGAAGATGTTTGAATAGATTGTCTCTAAGCATGAGAGAGAGGCATTAAATATTGTGGTTCCTTTTCTGAAATTGAACAAGGCAAGCAAATCCTCAATATTCCCAGTGTGCTGGTGGTTTTTGTTCTTCATGTGTCTTGCCTCTTAGATATGTTACAGTTACTTTACTCTAGATCTCCTGAGGAGGTTAAAACTTTGCCAAATACTCTTGCGTAGACATCTGGCTGACAAATGTCAACTGTTTCTTACAGTAAAAAATGTTTAGGTGTCTCAGTTGCTATTCTGGAATGAAGAACTTAAGCAATGCTGCCTGGAAGACCAGCTCCATACATGAGGACTGAAAATTTGTTATGATTTTCTTGGGACTTCGGCCAAAGCTTGCATTATCTGAGACGCGTATTAGACTTAGGGATGACTGAGCAGGTGATGACTGGTCTTATTTAAACAGCTGTCTTCTGACCTCATTGTTCTCTTGGGCCATGTGGCATCACATAAGTTTAGGAAACATTTAGCTATATTTTGGTTATATGCACAGTTTAGCACATCTGGCTTATCTGAAGAAAATAACCCCTAGACATGAAGATAAATACTGCTCATGACTCAGCACTTCCGTGCATGGTATCAGGGACCACCCAACAGCTGCAGAGTTCTCAGAAAGGCAGCCTGAAGAAAGGAAGAAAGTAGGACAGAAGAAAATACCTCTGAAACCTGCACCTTTTCAAGAGTTATCTTCTCAGAAAAGATCCAGAGGAAATTCACCCCACAGAACAGTGCTAAAAAGCACTTCAGAAGATTGCTCAGCCTGAGATTGCTCAGCCGGTCATCTTGCCGCAGGGAGTTTGAGGACCCTGCTCAGTCTGTACCAGAGGTCTATGCCGCTAACTTGGAGTTACTGAATGTTAGGGCTGCTTCCATGTTGCCATGTGTACCCATTGCTACTTTTTTATCTGTTTAAAATGTTTAAAAAAAAAAAAAAAACTTTTTTTTTTTTTAAGTGGGAAGAGGTAGGGGGAGAGAAGGGAATCTTTATTTGCATCCTCTCAGACTTTTTCATTAGATTGAAAAAAACAGTTTTCTTGTTGGTCTTTTTAACTTTCTTTTTCTTTTGCTGTTCCACTGTTCCCTAAAGTCATGCTTGTGATCCTTGATAGGTGATTAGTTGGAGCTTAGCATCGCTCAGGTATTTTATTGTGCGGTGTCCGTGTTGTTATGGACAATGTGGCACCGTCTTGAACGAGCGTGGGTGTGCATGCTGAGGTGACTGTGAGCATTGCTGCTCCCCAGGTAGGGAGATACCCACAACACCTTCCTTGCAGGAATTTGCAGGGAGCTCCTTGATTTCCGCTTGCACCTTACATCTCACGAAGCTTTCAGTTTAAGGTGGTGCTCGAGCAAATAGCTGTGCACATAGAAGTATGCCATTCAGTTTTTCCTTGGAGTCCTCTGTATTTGGGGATTTTGCGATGCAAATGAAACTGATCAGGGAAAATACTCCATTCGTCCTGATTTGATGTAGTTTATGCATGCTATGGGTATGACTAACGGAGAAGCGCTCGTAACGCGATGTGAATATAGGCAGGAGATCCTGAATTCGGGTGCTCTGGTAAGTAATGTCTGTGTTCTTTGCTTTTGCCGTAGTTCTGGTCCAAAATTCAACATTGCCATCAGAGGGAAGATTGGTCTGCCTCACAGCATCAAATTAAGGTTTCTGCGTTTTCTCTACTTTTTTGTTTGTTTTGCTTTTTCATTATTGATAGGTTTTGTTTAAAATCAGACCAGTATATTTAAAGATTTTTGATAATCTCCCTGATTGTCTTTACAGCAGACGTCGTTCCAGGAGCAAAAGTCCTTTCAGAAAAGACAAGAGCCCTGTTAGGTAACCATTTTTATACTTTTTTTTTTTTTTAAGCTTGAAATAAGGAATTACTCTTCACTGTCGTGATTACAGTTGCAAGAAGCTTTTGAAGCTCCTCATTCAAAAAGCAAAGCATAGAAAATACCCTGTTGCTTTCTCCCTATGCAATAAATCTTTCCCCCAGCTCCCAAGATTAACAATGTACAGTTGTAAATCAAGTTGACTTTCCAAGCGCAACTTGCTTTGCCTTTCCCACTTCAGTGTTTTCAAGCTTTTTTTTTCTTTTTCTTTTTTTTTCTTTTTTTTTTAGTTGATTCTAATTTCTTGGTTAACTTTTCTGCTAAGTCTCAGTAATTCTAAATAAGGAATGGAAAAGTACTGCACGAGTGTTTGCTTTTTGTGTTGATATGTGTTGATGTTACTTGTTTTTTTTTTTTTTCTTACAAAAAAAAAAAAAACAGGCTTTAAAATCCAGGAAGTGCTCATCCATTTCTATGGTTTGTCACTTAAGGGAATTGAATTCAGAAAACTACTAATGAAATTATTCTCTAAATTAATACAATTAAACTTGAATAGTCTTGCCTTGTTTTTATTTATTAGCAAATTCTTAATGAGATACTTTAGTTCAGATTATTATTACGTATTCTCAGTGATGTTTTATGTATAAAAATGTAAAGAAATACATTATTGAACGCTCAGTCCATGACTGAGATTTAGGTTAATTGCAAAGATATCAATTTCTCATGCGCAGGCTAATTCTGTTTTAATTTATTCTGAAGGAAAACAGACATTCCTTATTTGAAGCATTAGCTTGTAAACAGTAGAGCCTCCAGTGATCAATGTCAAAATAAAATTGCCCTAATGCTTCTAGAACCAGGAACTACAGTATTTAGTATTTAGTTGTACAAGGACTGGGAGTTCTGTTTGTACAGGTGTTGGTAGCTGTAGTGCCTGGGGAGTGACCACTGCCACTCCATGAGATGCATAAGATTTTAGTTTGCAAAGCTTGGGGAAAAGCAAAAAAAAAAAAAAAAAAAATCTTTGGTATTTGTCTTAAGAGTTTAGGCAGATAGACTAGTTGTATTCTTCTCAGCCTAAACCTGGCTTGAAAATTACCCTTAGTGTTTACAGTGAAAATTGAGTTAATTGTGTTAGAAAGGCTTGTATTGGATATTCCCTTGGGGTCTTGACCTCTAGTTCTAAAGTATAACACTTCAAATGTTTGTGTGTAGTCCTGTGACTAGTTCCCTTATTCAACTTTCCTCTTACATTCCAGAGAACCTATTGATAATCTTACCCCTGAAGAGAGGGATGCTCGAACAGTATTCTGCATGCAGCTGGCTGCAAGAATTCGGCCAAGAGACCTGGAAGAGTTTTTCTCTACAGTAGGGAAGGTAATAATAAAAATGTTAACATGATTCTGAATATTTTTTCAAGTCCAGGATTGCTGTTCTGCAGAACTGTGGACAGGTGGCTTTTTGGAGCTACTTTTAAAGTGTTTTATCCTATAGGGTGAAAAACTTTTAAGCCTCTGAGCTTGGAAACATAATTAATCAACAGTGTATTGTTCAGTGTGCAGTCTGATGCAATTCATGGGGATGCAGTTCAGATGGCTTAATCTTTTTCAGGTCAGCAGTTGAATACATAACTTGATAGTTTTATTTTTGAGACACTTCCTTTTGCATCTGTTGTAAGCTTCCCGCTTAAATCATTGAGGTACTGCAAGTGTTGTAGTGCCCCTGTTTCTGAAGCATGCTGTGATTTTTGGAATCGCAGTAAAGGCAGCTTGCCTCTGGAGTATGTTTAGGAAGGTAATTCAATGCCAGTCTAGATTTGCAGTGTAATTGTAAAGCCATTGATTTGGCAAATAAGTGTCTGGCATATTAATGTATTGCTGAGAGTTTAATTCCCTTTGCTTTTTCCTAGTTTAGCCTTATAAACACAGCACTTACATTCTTGTCTTTCAGGTTCGTGATGTGCGAATGATTTCTGATAGAAATTCCAGACGTTCAAAGGGAATTGCTTATGTAGAGTTTGTGGATGTTAGTTCAGTGCCTCTGGCAATAGGACTAACAGGACAGAGGGTCTTGGGTGTACCAATCATAGTACAAGCATCACAGGTAAGTAATTGTTAACAGTTGTTAAACTTGCTGCTAATTGCATTGAATAGTACCTAAAGGCTGGAGTTTCTCAGAGGCAAGGATGTCATCTGATTTCATCTTAAAATCTTCAGTGAGGCTTAGCAAGTTGCATAATTAGCAACATAACTGTTTTTATCTCCTGTTCACATAGGAGGAGTTAAATAACAGCCATATAACATTCATAGAGCACAAGAAGGAAATGTTCTAGAGCGAAGTTTTTGTGAATGATTGCCTTTAGAAGCTAGTAGATTCTGCCCTCTGTTATCTTTGGAAAGTCTAGCGTTTGTAAACTTAGTTGTCATTGAACATTTGGAAATGATTAATGAAATAAGATAACTATGAGTGGACCTTTGCTTCCACTCCAATTTGCTGTAATTGGGCTGTCACTTTTTGGTATAAGATTCCTTTTGAGAACGCTGCTGCTAAGAAACCAGTAATAACAAAGCTATAAAAGCGTTACTAAACTATAGCCTGTAGTTAAAATTGCTCTCCAGGATATATAAAAAGCAAAGTGGTGATTTGTTAGATGCAATTCAGCATGAATTCTTCATTTTGAAGGTTTTTGAAGCCATGAATACTATACTTAGTCATGGTCTTGGATTTTATAGGGTTTAATTTAGTTAGATGGACATTGTGCAGTTTAATAAACAGTGGTGAGTTTTTTGGGGGTTTTTGTTTGTTTGTTTTTTGAGTTTTAATTTTGTAGGTGTTTGCCCATTAATTTTTTTTTTTTACTGAATTCTGACAAAGTGAATTTCTTAATTTGTTTTCAGGCAGAGAAAAACAGAGCAGCAGCAATGGCAAATAACTTACAGAAGGGCAGTGCTGGTCCTATGAGGCTCTATGTGGGGTCACTGCACTTCAACATAACTGAAGATATGCTTCGGGGAATCTTTGAGCCATTTGGCAGGGTAGGTTTTCACTAAGCAAAGTCAATGTGTGGCAGTAGGTACGACTATCTGAGAAACCGCTGTTAGTTCTCGCGTGGTGAATCGGAATGATTTAAGCTTCATGTCCACAATACAATCTCTTTCCATTCCTTTGGTACATCTGCATCCAGGAAGATTAAGGTACCGATAAGGTTTATCACCCCAGCAGTAGAGCTAAGGTAGTTTAGGAGGCTTATAGACAGAATTAGGATTTTTCTTCATCACGTATTTCCCAGGCTTGCTTTTTTAATAATGCGTTTTTTTCTTTCCAACACTATTTCATAGGTCCTGGATGACTTTTTAAAGTTGTAAACCTTTAAGAGCTCTCATGAGATGGATTAGGAACTGGCTGGATGGCAGGGCCCAGAGAGTGGTGATCAGCGGTGCAGAGTCTAGTTGGAGGCCTGTAGCTAGTGGGGTCCCCCAGGGGTCAGTCCTTGGTCCAGTCCTGTTCAATTTATTCATCAATGACCTGGATGAAGGCACAGAGTGCTCCCTCAGCAAGTTTGCTGATGATATGAAACTGGGAGGAGTAGCTGATATCCCAGAGGGCTGCGCTGCCATCCAGAGGGACCTGGACAGACTGGACAACTGGGCAGTGAAAAACCTCATGCAGTTCAACAAGGCCAAGTGCAAGGTCCTGCACCTGGGGAGGAATAACCCCAGACACCAGTACAGGCTGGGAACCGACCTTGTGGAGAGCAGCTCTGCACAGTACAAGAGGGATGTGGAGCTGCTGGAGAGAGTCCAGCGCAGGGCTACAAGGATGATCAGGGGCCTGGAACATCTGCCCTATGAGGAGAGGTTGAGGGAGCTGGGCCTGTTCAGCCTGGAGAAGAGAAGGCTGAGAGGGGATCTAATCAGTGTATATAAATACTTCAAGGGAGGGAGTGCAGACGACGGTGATGGTCTCTTTTCAGTGGTGGCCACTGATAGGACTAGAGGAAATGGCCGGAAACTGAAACATCAAAAATTCCATAGGAACTTGAGGAAAAATTTCTTGGCAGTGAGGGTGACAGAGCACTGGAACAGGCTGCCCAGAGAGGTTGTGGAGTCTCCTTCTCTGGAGATCTTCAAAACCCACTTGGATGCAGTCCTGTGCCACGTGCTCTAGGTGTCCCTGCGTATGCAGGGGGGTTGGACTAGATGATCTCTAGAGGTCCCTTCCAACCCTAAGCATTCTATGATTCTATGATTCTGTGTAGCAATAGACAAATACATTTAAAGTGTGCAGCTTTTTCTTAAAGCCCCCCATCAGCTGCTTTTTTACCCTTAAAAATGGAGTTTCTCAGCATGTGAAATAACATGCCTATGTTATTTCAGTTGGGATTTCATTATGTCTGTGTGCTGTTTGTCTGCTAGAATGCCACATCCGGTCTCTGCAGCTGGAAGCATCTTAAAAAGGATAAATTGAATATCTCCCATATGCTTAGCAGTTGTTTCTTTAGTTTTGACATAAGGATCTCGCTATCTATGTACTAATCTGGACTTGAGGGAAAAATAAGGAGCTACTTAAAAAGAATGTTTCACCTTAATTTATGACCATTGTTTTTGTTAGGGCTATATGTAGGCTTTGTTTTGCTATCTTGTAGTTTATTTCAAAACACCTCATAATAGTTTTATTCTTCTTTTTAGATTGAAAGCATTCAACTAATGATGGATAGTGAAACTGGACGTTCAAAAGGATATGGATTTATTACGGTATGATTGGGATTATCAAGATTCTTAGAAAACTTAGAAGTATAATCTTGTGGTAGCATAGAGAATGTGACAATCACAGTTAAGTCTTTTAGAAGATTTATGTCACTGGTAATGGAAGAGTAACTGTCTTCTTGCTCTGCCAGTTCCCTGTAGGTGTTTTAATTGAGCAATTTCTATATTTAGAATGGGAGTAGTGTCCTTCTGTCCAGTGTTGCAGTCAGTGTCTGGTAAAGTACTGCTGTTTATTCAGGCAAACAAAAAATGATAAAAACTGGCTTTTAAGTGCCCTGGCAAATTGGAGTGTTTGGGAAAATCAAATTCCATAGGATAAATCTTTCTGTTGAGAGCATCTTTTCTCCTTGCCCTTAGATCTATAGTTTTGTAAGCTCAGGTATCATATATGACAATAATAATTTGTGATGGAAAGACAAATGTCTCTGTTAAGAACTCTGGAACTTGGAGAAAAATGAAGCATAAGTAACTGCAGATATATCGGTAGGTTTAGCACTGATAGTAGAAGATGAGCTTCATATTGTGCAGCATGAAGCAGAATGTCCACTAGGAGCAGTCACTAAAATCAATAAAGTTAAAGTGACTCTTCTCGGCAATACATTGGAAGGGAACGAACTGCAGTCATGACTTCTGTTAATTGAAATATCTAGGTTACTCTTTATACCTTAAACAGTCATGTGTATTTCAATGTATTTCCATCAAAAGACAAGAAAGTGAATATGAAGTTGTGCAAGCTTGATAATGCACTGGTAAGGAGGGAAGGCAACTGTGGTTGTTATGTGCAGCAGATGTGGTGTGAAATTCTCTGGACAGTATAATTGAATGTGTTTTTTTCAACTCTACAGTTTTCAGACTCCGAGTGTGCCAAAAAGGCCTTAGAACAACTCAATGGATTTGAGCTGGCTGGTAGGCCAATGAAAGTTGGACATGTAACTGAGCGCACTGATGCATCCAGTGCTAGTTCGTTTTTGGACAGTGATGAGTTGGAACGCACTGGAATTGACTTGGGAACAACTGGCCGCCTTCAGCTGATGGCAAGACTTGCAGAGGGTATGTATGGCACTAAACAGGAAAGGTGTAAGAATAAGGAGGTTTTGTATTAATGTGCTGCACGGAATATTATGCTAAATGCCTTCTTAAGACTTCAACAACAGTAAAATTGCCTCTGTTCTTGGGTTCCTGAGTGAAAGATGCTTGCTGCAAAGTATATTCATGTTTTCTCTTTTAGGCACTGGTTTGCAGATTCCCCCAGCTGCACAGCAGGCTCTGCAGATGAGTGGATCGTTGGCATTTGGAGCTGTGGCAGGTAAGAGATGATGACTTCTTTATTTTTCCAAAATAGCTTTTAGTGCTTTGTAGTTGCAGCATAAGTGCTTAACTGCATTTTTCTCATATAAATTGGGAACCTAGATACTACAGCATGTTTTCCAATTGTGCAAATCCATGAGTAATTAAGCAGTGGTGATATGTCAGCTTTGATGGATGTGATTCACTTTGCATTGTTTTTGGCAAGGCCTTCACCTGTGTGTCGTTACTCTTCCTGATAGTAGCGGAGACTTTCAGGTTCTACTTCAGTATAACTGTTGACAGTTAAAAATAGCAGGCTGGTAATTGGAAGGGCCCTCTGCAGAGTCTCTTCTGAAAAACTGGAGCTGTGCCAGGGCCAAGAAGTTAGTGGGACTTTTTGGAGGACACAGCAGCTAATACTCAGAACTGCTCAAATACTTACATTCATAATAGAGTTAGGTGTGCATGGTATGTGCCCCAGACAGGAAGAACAGCATATGTCAGTGAATTCAGGTGGTACTTGAGAGATGGCTGTGGTTCACCTGCTCTGCAAGTGGGTGCTTTGTAAAGCTTTACGGAGATTTTTCTGAGAGATTAAGGTTACAATTTCTACAACTGCTAGTTCATAGCTGAATGTAAGCAACAAAGTGCTCAAAGCTAGGCAGTGAATATAACTTCCCACAGGAGCCTACGTGGGAATTTAAAGTGGCATTGTTCTGGCTTTTTTTTTTTTCCTAACTCAAGGAAAATAGGAGGGAAATTGTGGTAGCAATAGGAAGGATTTAAGTGTCATGAACAAGTGGATGCTGGAATGTATATTTTTGGCTGATTTCATACACTTCTTGCATACATTTCTCATCTTCCAGCAGAGTTTCACATTTATGCATGTGAATCATCTTTTTGAAGCTCAAGTGCGGCATAGATATGCACATCAAATTCTAGATAGTTGCTTAAAAAATAGTAGTAGTGTGTATCTCTAGAAAGAAACTCATGGAAGAAAAGGGAAAAGGCTAGGGAAATAAAGCATGGGTTAAAGAGCAAGATTTTGAGTTGGAGAAATGGATTTAAAAAATAATGCAAAGAAAGAAAATAGGAGCTAGTGCGGAAGTAGAGGAGAGGAAAACAATACCAAAATGAGATCACCTTTAATATAGGTGAAAATAACGTGACAGTCTGCTTTGGGTACAGAAATGAGGAAGTACTATTTTAAAAACAGCAATCTTCTTCCCTCTCCCCATATTCCAAACAAGTATGCCAAAGAAATCCAAACTTGCATTGGAAATATGAGTAAAAAGGTTCATGAGACCTTATCTATTAGCCTGTGAATTGGCATAGGACAGCATAGCTGTGATGGAGCAAATGATAAGGCTTAATGTCATTTTTTTGAAGGATGTGCATGTTCAGTAATAGTAGAAATAAATGTGGTATGGAGGAGCATTATTTGTTGCACTCATACTGTATGAAAGAAATGATGGAAACTTAAAATTTAAGTAAGCTGAGAAAAAGATAAAAATACTGCCATAGTCATGAGCTATCTCCAGTGGAGATTTCGTTATGGATTAAAGATCTCTTTACTCTTGTTAGAGAAAATTACTACCAGGAATTATGTCATTATGGGAGACTTTAACTTCCCTGATACAGATTGGAGAAGAATTGATAGTAATAATGGTGGGGCCCAGATATTCCTGGATGTGATATCCGACAAATTTCTTCATCAAACACTCAGTGACTCATCAAGAGGGGATGCTATTTTAAACTCATTTTGGTAAGTAATGAAGATGTTATGGATGAGAACAGAAATTACCATTGACTGAGTGATAATGAGTTGCTCAAGTTTAAATGGAAGGCTAAACAAAAACAGGTCTGTAACTAAGGCTTTTGCTTTCAAAAGTGATGGATGAGGAATTACAAAAGTCACCTGATCTAAACTCCAGTGTCTGAACAGGAAGGGCACAAAAACGTTTCTTCAGTTTCACATTGCTACTGCTGTCTTGGATCTGTATTCCACAGAAAGAAGAAATGTTGCAGCAGTATTGGATTCCTCACCTCACTAGATGGTTAACTACCTCAAAAACAATCTGGAAAAAAAGAGGAGGAGTAAGCAGGGAGCCTCTGGAGAATAGGGGGAAAGAACAGGCTAGTAGTATAAAAGTAGTATTTTTAGTCTAGGAGATGGTTAAAATAGGAATTACCAACAATCATATTGAGTTAGACTTTGTAAGAGATGTGAAAGCAGAGATGAAGAGAGTAAAAAGAATTAGGTTGAGATGCAACCTCCTTGAAATACTAAATTACTCTAGATGCAGTGAAGATCTTCACTGCTTCCCCCCCCCTTTTTTTTTGAGGGGACACTGATGATGGCAAAGTTTGGAATTTGAGGAATGTCAGATGCAGTATGGATTAAAAAGAAAATGACTCCTGAGTAAAGTAGAAGAAAATCTAAAAAGAACTGAAAGCTCTCAGTCCAAAGGAGTAAGAAAACTCATATTAGTGATCAAATATGAGACCTTGCAGATCACAGGCCTATCAGAGAGATATATATTTTAAACAGTAAGTCTCTAACATACTGTAGAAGAGGGACATCCATTTCTAAATTAATAGAATTGCAATGGTGGACAAGACCTTTAAGATCATCAAGTCCAACCATAAACCCATCACCCCCGTACCTGCTAAGCCATGTCTCCAAGTGCCTCATCTACACCTTTCTTGAACACTGCTGGGGATGGTGCCTCCACCGCTTCCCCAGGCAGCCTGTTGCAATGCTTCACCACTCTTTCAGTGTATTTTTCCTAATGTCTAACCTGAACTTCCCCTGGTGTCACCTGAGGCCGTTTCCTCTTGTCGTAGCGATAGTTATTTTGGAGAAGACAAAGGAGATGATGTGCAAAAAAATTAAGGAGGAAGAAAAATAATCTGACCATCTTTTAGCCCTGTTACTGTGATGTCACTTCTATGAGTGTTTATCCTCTCCTCTAAAAGTCCTGCTAAAGACAAAAATGATTAAAATATAGCATGCTTTTCCATGGGAGCTATTTGTAAGGACTAACGATGTTGAAAACCAGCTCCTCTAAACAGAGGAGCTGTAGTAGTAGAATGCTTCTCTCTGAGCTTCTGATGTGTCCCCCTTGGAAATCTTTAAGCTAAAGGAGGATTGGCTAGTTCAAGAGGCATAAAATACATGGGAAACTGTCTCAGGAAGAGGGCTGGGATTCTTCTCAATGAAAACTTAAAACCTTTGAGAATGTTGAAATCAAAGCTCATTTTTAGAAATGATCCTGTTTAATATTTGTATTAATAACAATGGCAGAAACAGTGGGGTTGAGGAGATGAAATAAACAGGACCTTATCACTAAGGAGTGCATGGGGTAGCAATACATTTTTTGTCAATTTGGCTTTTGAAACAAATTGCAGTTATTGTCTGGGACCTCAGCAGCAGAAAATGTCCATGATGACAGGTATTGTACTTGATCAGTAAGGAAGTGTGAACAGACAGTATTGGAGGAGCTGTGTCCCCGGAGGTAGCGTGAACATCGCCCCTTACCTACAGAGCAGCAAACCCTTCTGGTCACCTGTGTTCAAGATGAGTCAAATCTGACGGAAATAGTGAAGCTACCGGGGTGAGCAGGAGAGAAAAGAATTATCTTGTGGGAGACCTGAGGACTTGAAGTTTATTCCTGTGGAGAAAATTCCGCCAAGAAAAATAATTGAAGCTAATAGTTACTCAGCTGTGTACTGGTGGTCCTCTAGGTACATACTAGCTGAAAATGAGAAACTTGAAACAACCCTGAGAGTATGGAACAATCTTCTAACCTGAGTGGTGGGACAAAACAGGCCTTACTTTTCAGGAGTGCTGTGTGTTTATGAAACAGTCCAAGTAACAGTGTACCTGCAATAGTGAGAATTAGGTGCTGCTATCCAGGAGCTCCATTCCAATCTGTTGTGAATAATTACTTAATCTGGGAAATACTTGGCTTCTTTTTGTTTGAAGCTCCCTTAAAAACATGCACTCAGGTTTTTTTTTTTTTTTTTTTTTCTTTTTAAGAAAAAAAATGGTTTAATAGGTACTTCTGTGTTTCTACTTTACCCTAATAAGTCTATGCTTTTTACTCAAGCTAAACTTGTGATTCTTAACAGATGACACATGGAAAAAGTAACTTTGATCTTAACAAGGCAGATGCAGTAATTTTAGTTTCCATACACCGATTAAAGCTGTATTTTGCATGCATAAAAATGCATGTAGAACTACGTGTAGTTCTTAAAGTTCATAGCCAAGTGTGTGTGTGGCTTTTTTGTTTGTTTTCATTTTTTCTTACTAAACTTAAAAAATGAGGGAACTTTCTCCAACCATGAACAAGGGAAAAATCCAGCTAATTTGAGAAGAAAGAAATTGGATGGAGTGTGTTTCAGAGGTAGTAAGTGATGAACCTTTGAAACTTGCCGCCCCCAGCTACTGTGATTGGTCTTTGCCCGTTCAGAACAGGCAGACGCGGCTCCAGGCCCAGGCTCGGGCGCCGGCAACCACGTGGATCTGCTCGCCTGGGTGCAGGTGGCCGGGAGGATGGAGCCCTGCAGCTGGGGGGCGGCTGGTGCGTGGGGGCTTTGCTGTAAATTGTGTGTGTGGTTGTGTCAGTTACGGAGGGAGGAGCTGTAATCCTCATCGGAGCACAGTTGTTTAGGAGATGAGATGTTTGATTAAAGAACATTCATTTTGTTTAACAGCAGTATTAAAAAAATAAATAAATTAGGTAGTAACTAATTTAGTAATTAGTTATAGATTCACCCAAATCCATGTGGATCCCATGGGTTTCTGGAGAGAACACAGCCTAGGAAAGTCCTCCCCATCATGGGATTTCTCACTCTGTGGAGTTGAGGATTCCTCCCTGTTCAGAGCCAGGTGAGAAACTCACTGCATTCAGGCAATTCTTGTTGTAGCTCAGCCTTCAGAGCTTGCTCCTTCCATCTCTTATTTTTCATGGTATGTGTTGTTCTATGGAAGTCATTTACAAGGTACTAGAGCAAGGCTTGTCTTCAAGGCTATCACTCTAATACTAAGAGCAAAAATCCTTTACTCCTGCTGATCTTTCAGTGTTTTGGGGGAGGGTCTACAAAAAGGAGGGGAGGAGGAAAAAAAAAAAAAAAAAGACTGATCTTCATGTATTTCCAGGTAAGCATTTTCAAAGAGCCCGGCCTCACTGCTTTCCAAATTGGTGAACAGGAAATAAGACGATGGCTGGTTCTAATCTGCCAGTTCCTTGTGTCTGTGTGAAGCGAGCTTGGGCATGAGGAGGTTTGTCTTTACGTTCCTTGCAGCCTGAAGTTTGCGGCTGCTGATGCAAAGATCCTCAGCACAGGGCTTGAGCCGTCCTTGGTGACGGCTGCGAAGCCTGCGTTTGTGTCTGTTCCCATTGTCATAAACTGGGACAGCTACGTGTTTGTTATTAAACCAGTAATTTTTTTTATTTGGCAAATTAAATATTTTGAATACTTGAAATTATTTTAAACATTGAAATAATTTGACTTTGCAGCATATCTATGCAAAGATAACAGCTGAAATACTAATTTATTCTATTAAAATGAAACTTGAAAGCCTGTGTTGCAGAATTGTTAATTTGGACAACTCTGCTTTAAGTTTAATATCTGTAAGAATTGCCGTATTTTCCTGTGGAACCAAATATAAATACACAGGTGCATATTAACCTATTTCTGTAAACTAAAAGACATGATCATCTCTCTCTTTCCTTTTGAAGCGTTACTTCTCTTTGAAATGTGCTTACCTCTGTGGTTATAGAATATCCATCAAGTGCTGAATGCTTGAGGTGATCAAATGAAAATAGCAGAATTTGTTGCCTCTAGAGAGGAGCAGTGGGAGCGGGTTATGGTACTGGGACAAGCTCGTGCCCCTGAAGTGCAGGCTAGAAATGTGGATGGCAGGTAAATACATAGGAGTGCTGGCAAGCCTGCTGACTGACTTCTGGTGTATCTTTCTTTAGATTTGCAAACAAGACTCTCTCAGCAGAATGAAGGTAAGCTGGAATTTGATAGCTTGTCCCCAGTAGGTAATGTATAAGAATTTACTTTGCAGTTATTGTCTAGATGTGAAATACAGCCAAAGCAGAGTCTGTCCAGAGCCTGAGAAATGATATCCTATTGGTCTCTATAGGAATTATACTTTATATTGATTACTGATTGAATATGTGTGAAACACTTCACCTTTTTGTTTGCAGCTTTTCTTAAATGTTGGACTAAGCTGTGACGTGTGTAACAAAACGTATATTGTGTGTATGTTTTTGTTTTGGGGGGGATTAAATATATATATATATATATATTTGTTAAGAGGCAAATACAGATCATTTGAGAACCAAGATTTTGGGATTCAGTCCCTGAATTGGGTAAAAAATGCTCTGACTGGACAGCCCTTAATGTCTTAAGTATGTAGAGAGGAGGTTGATGTTATTTCGGCTAAGACTGACATAAGTTAACTTCCTATTGCTGGGGCAGCCTACAGGACAGTGCTTACCTTAAATTAGATGCACTGTGATTAGAAACGATGGATAGTGACTCATATTTCCTAGTTAGTAGCAAAGAATATAGACCTGTTCTAGAGTTAAAATGTTTATCTATCTAATTGTTGGAAATACTTCCTACGTTAGTCATACATTTTCTCTTCAGAAAGGCATATACTTGAAGGTTAATTCATGTGCTATAAACGGTTTTTGAGAGTTCCTAAAAAGGCCCGTCACTCTTCCAGTCAAGTCAGTGAGGTGGTTGCACTCTATCCTGTACTGCCACCTGACTTGCATGCTGGAGTATATGTCCTAGTTATGAATTGTGCTTTCTTGTCTTTAATTTTCTGTCTTTCAACTGTAATAGGTACAGTCTAATGTTAGAATTTTAAAGAACAAATTGCAAGATCCACTTCTAAACTGAACTGCATATAGAGCATTCTCAAGTTCGTCATTGCTTTTTTTCATAATTGCTTTTTTATTTTTTTTCCTCCTTTAAACAGTTCTGGCTGCAGCTGCTTCTGTACAGCCACTTGCAACACAGTGCTTCCAGCTTTCCAATATGTTTAATCCTCAAACGTAAGTAGTTACTCATTATCCGTGGGAGATAACATGGGAGAAGCTAGGTGGAATGTTGTAGACTTCTTTTTTGATGGGCTGTGGGATAGATTTTGTTCCAGTTCATTCATTTTTCCATCTCCGTCCTGTTCTTCCCACTACAGTGAAGAAGAAGCTGGATGGGATACAGAAATTAAAGATGATGTGATTGAGGAGTGCAACAAACATGGAGGAGTTATCCACATCTACGTAGACAAAAATTCAGCTCAGGTGTGTGACATGTTCAAGATTTGTTTCGGTTTTGGGCTGTGTGTGGTGTGTGTTTTATAGATGAGAGAGCAGTTCTTTAGTGCAGCAGTCTGTTCTTACGGATCTGCAGAGGTAGAGTTATTGAGGAAGTGCAGGCTAGAGAATGGGAATTCCTTTACTTCTGGCCTTTGCCTTTTTCCCCTAAGGTAGTTGTTTTTTCTCCTCAAAAGACAGACACTTTTTTCCTTTGTTTTTTTGCACACAGCAGATTTTGGCACAAGGAGCATGCTGTTCCAGCAGAGTAGCTGTGCCTAGCCCCATTGACGGGCACAGTCTTCACTAATACTGTTGTAGTTGAGCCCTCTGTCTTCCAGCGGGATGTTAGAGTGCCTGGAGCTGTAATGGGGAGGAAGAAATAAAAGGGGATGATGCAGTTGATCCAGACCTAATTACAACGTATCATTAATGCTGAAGCCCACCTGGCAGTCAGAGCACTGGGTTTCATTGCCCTGCCTGTAAAGGTGGCTCTCACCTAAGATCCTTTCACAAGAATTGCTGAGATTTTAAATTAAAGGTGACCTGCATTCCAGATCATAGTTAACTTGTAAAGTTGTCTTGGCCATTTTGAATGGGACAGAGTAATCCTGTCCATTGATAGTGTGGATCCTGAAATATTTCCCTTTAACTGGCTCTCCAGTAAGTAAAGATTGTAGATGAGGCAGCGTGTGAAAAGCCCCCTTGTTGGAAAGGGACATCCAAGATGGCAGAACTGATTGGGAATGCAGAGTCATGTGCAAAAGACAACTAGAGCAGAGAGCTGTACTCCCTGCCATGTTCACCATGGGAGCACACGGAGTTCAGAAATGGCTCAGTCACTGGGCAGATGATGGAAGAAGCTGATAAGCCTAATGTAATAAACTATTCACTAAAATCCTGACAGACCAAGAGTTACACCTGTTGTTTATTTTCTTACAGTGTAAAGAGAATGGTTTCATGCTTGAAATCCTTTTATTTCCTGTGGCATTCCTATTCCAAGTATAAACATATTCTTTTTGAAGGAGTGCTGTTTTTCAGTGGGTATGTGAATGGTTAGCACTGACCTGGATTCCTGACCTAGAAATCAAAGATTTGCATTTCCTGAAAGGCATGTACTGAATTTCATTTCAGCATGATAGGAACTGTCTCAGCTGTTCCGAGAAGCACTTAGCAAAAAAACAAGTATCTTTCAAATCTTTTCTGCAGACTTAAGTAGTTGTCATAATGAAAGTAAATAGGTCACCCTGTCTTTTGTAGCTGTGGTTTGACAGGTAGGAAAGAAGGTAGGTGGAGAGAGGATTTGTCTGTTTTCTTGCACCCAATTCTCCTTTTTTGTTGCAAAACATACCTTAATGTTTTTCAGAGTTCTGGTAGTGCATAGAGATTACTGTTGTGATGGATCATTAGGCTCATGGACATAGAAACTTTCCCATAACTTATTTGCCTAATACCACCTTTTTTTTTCCCCTTCCTAAGTTGATATCTATTTAATTTAACCACATTTAGATTTAAACAAAGAGAAAGCCAGACAAAAAACTGCAGCCCTCATGTTCAGTTTTATTTGTTCAGATTCCGTGGGATGTATCTGGTTCATCTTGACACATGGATTTAAAGAAAGAATTGCAGCTACCGTGTAATGAATGAGCCTGATGTCTGTTATGTGAAAGCCACTTTGTCATGATAATACTAGGATAGCCCAGATATAGAGTACCTCTTGATTTTAAAATATACACACCTACATATATATATTTGAATAAATACAAGTTTCGAGTCCCTGTATTTTCAGCTCATCTATTTAATTTCCTGCCGCCTTGGGCTTTTTCCAGATTGCCAGACTTTCCAGATGGAGTGCTTGGTATTCAGTAGTGAAGGCTTAGTTTGATATTTTAAATACAGGTATTAGAAAATATCTTCTACCACAACTGTTTACAGTGTGGTGTTTTAAGGATAAAGACACGCAGCAACAAAAGCCTTAATGTAAAGATTTGGGCAGCTTGTATGCCTGTACTGGGGAGACCAAAGCACAGACCTTTTGTGTATTACCTACTTAATGCCTTAAACACCAGCTTTCTAATGCCTTGGTGTGGTCTGATGGAGCTCTTAATCTCAGCTTTTCCCCTGCCCCAAAAGGAATGAACTAATCACAGTGGGAAAAGTTAGTACTGCCTGGAGCATCCTGTGAAGGAGTATGCTGGACTCTGCTTAATATTTTCTTTTCTTTGCAAAATAGTCTGTGCTCCAGCTAGAATCTAATCTGGTTCAAGAATGTAGTTGTATGCAGGATGTCACAAAAATGCCCGTTTGTCCCTGTGTGTTCCCGTGCAGCCCGGCCGCGTCCTGCGCTGCTGGAACGGGGCACTGTGGTACTCGAGGTTGCTCAGCACTGGTGCTTAGTTTGCAGGCAGAAAGCTTCAAGCATCTTTAACAAGGATAAGATTGGACTGGTAAGACATCCATGCGATGCATCTAAGGTTGTTCTTGCCTTGTTGCAACTTTTTTCTCTTTATCTAAATAAGTAAGAACTGAGATGAAGGAAAAGGTAGATGCTGAAGTCCAAGTAGGAGAAACTGCAGCAGCTGCCTCCCTTGAATGTCCTTTCTGTGTCTTAGTGGGAACTGGGAGGGCTGAGCCCCTTTGAAAAGCAACCTGTGAACTTAGACACATAGTTAAACACTTAGAGTTATCTATTGATGACTTGCAAAACTTGATGGCCAGCCTGCAGTGGAGGTAATCCAACCTTGTGGATTTTTTTTTTCTTCCTCTATTAGGTGGATTTTGTACTTAGATGTTAGATGGTACTTCAGAGCAGTGCATTGCTGTTTGCTGCCTTCAGGTGACATTTTACATTGCACTTACCCATTGCCTCCAGTTGCATTTGGTCCACTTCAGAAACACCCACTTAGGAAGGTGCTTCACGCTCAGTAAGCGCTAGGGAACGGTTATTGATGCATGTCTGCAAAGCAAACGGGCCCCATGTCTGGACCTTCAGTGGTGCTCCATCTGCGGTTCCGAGTTGGTACCGGCAGAACACAGTGCAGCAGGGTCGCTCCCATCAAACCGGGTCGGGTAGGTTAAGCAGGAGGAAGAAACTGTCAGCCTTGTAACCAACTCTGCTGCTTGTGTGTTCCAGGGCAATGTGTATGTCAAATGTCCTTCAATTGCTGCTGCCATTGCAGCTGTAAACGCGTTGCATGGGAGGTGGTTTGCAGGTGAGTGCATTTCATGCAGAGTCTGCATTTGTTTATTTGTTACCAAATTTAACCCGTGCTGATGGTTTATTTTAATCTTTCCATTAGGTAAAATGATTACAGCAGCGTATGTACCTCTTCCAACATACCATAGCCTCTTTCCGGATTCTATGACTGCAACCCAACTACTGGTCCCTGTTCGACGATGAAGATGGATTTAGTCAGTTTTGTATATAGTTATTTTTTGGAGGAAGATTGAGTTATCTTTTATTTAGATAAAACTAAAGGAAAAGATTTAATGTCATTTTTGTGTACACTTCCTGCTACCTTTAAAAATAAAATGAAGTAAGCAGAAATGCAGTGTGTTCATTCTCCCTGACTAGCATTTCCACTGTATACAAAGCTGTTGACTTCTTGTTCTGCCTTGTAATTCTTGTACATTTACTAAGGTGATCTGTAGGAAATGAGAAGTAGCTCATAGAAAACAAATTCTGTTAAAGGCAGATGGGACATAATGACATTTTTAATGTTTCACAAGCCTTTCTTTTAATGCAGCAATTACATTTTACATTTCACTAAATGTAGGTGATCTGCTAAAGGTTGGTATCGGAGATAGACTTTATGAAGGGACATATTTAGTGTTTTGTATAAATGGAAAATTCAAAAGGCTACTGAAAGCTGATTGTGACCAGCCACTCAGCTTGCTTTGTGCTGAATAATTGATAAGAATAGAAGGATTGAAGGGTTTTATTTCTTGATGGTAACTTTTGATTAATGTATCTGTAAAAGTTTCTTTGTAAATACTGTGTGAGGTGTGTCTAAGTTTCCAAACAAAACTCTCTCTGCATTTCCAGTTAAGTTTCTCTGTATGCAGTGTGGCACAGTTGCAGGATTTCAGCCAAGCCTGAAAATGGGCAGGAAATACAGAAACATGTTTTGTTCTGGTTGCATATAATCTTTGCTCTTTTTAAGCTCTGTGAGCTCTGAAATATATTTTTGGGTTACTTCAGTGTGTTTGACAAGACAGCTTGATATTTCTATCAAACAAAGACTTTCATATTGCAACAATCTTTGTAAGAACCACTCAAATAAAATTCTCTTAAAAAGGCCTTTAAGCAGCTTTATTTCACTCCTGCCGTGTGACTGAAGTGGTGGCCCTGGCTGACGGTTACTCCCTCCTGGTAGGAGCAGTGGCCCCATGGGGCTTGTAGCACCTGAGCCCCCACGGGCAATGAGGCTGGGGCTCCTGTGCCTGTCCCTTTTCTGGCCTGAGCCATGGCAGGCTCGTGGGCTTCCCTGCATGCCGGGCAGGGGCTTCTCGAGTGCCCCGACTGTGCAGCTGAATTGCTGCTTGTTTAAGTTTGTTGTTTTTCACATCTTTCTCAAGTGTCTTCTGAAGCCTGCTTGGCTGGAAGTGTTTTGGCTCCGCTTTAAGCTGTGTCTCTAACGTAACCTGGCTTGAGGGAATGACCCTCTTTAGTGCCCCTTTCCCCCTCCCAGGGATCATTGGAGCCTTGTAGGAAGCCGAGGTGGGCAGTAGGATAAACAGCCGCGTGTGAGAGCAGTGCCGGAGCCTCTGCGTGGGGATGGCAGCAGCTCCCTGCCCTGGCTGAGGTGCAGCAGGGTCATGAGCAGCCTTGGGAAATATAGAAAGGAGCCTGGGAAGAAGGGGTAGGGGGGAAGCCAAACTGAGGTAGCTGCACAGACAGCAACACCATGATAAAAGCACAGATCAGGTTTGTTTCCAAAAGCAAATTGCAGGAGATTTCAACACCAGCCCTTTCCTGTTGTTTGCTCTGGTTGGCACTGCCCCCACTGCTAGCAGAGGGTAGGCAGCACCACCAACACCTGCGAACTTTTGACCAGTTTATAAAAATCATGAAAGGTTGGAGAAAAGGCCTGTATGTGCAGCGCACTCTTGGGTAGCACTGCTGCCTGTGGAGATGATGCCCCTTCCTCCGTAAAGAGACTGAAAAAGCAGCTTTGAGGTGGTAGAAACAAAAGGAAAAGTGTTTATGGGTCCTAGCCTGTGAAATACAAACTGTAACAAGGTGCAAAGGGTTATTAGGACTCATTTTTATGGCAGTAAGAGAGATGAGGATACATCTGGTAAAAAGCAAGTTTGCATTCAACAAAGCAAGTAGGTTGATGCTTCAAAATTTCATGAAGAGGACTCCAACTTCCACGTATCTAAAGATTTTATTATAGTACAGGGGAAGAACAACTGGACCAGGGCCTCTTCAGGTTAAAAAACCCAAGCTCCACGTTAGCAGCGGATTCCCATCCCAATAGCCATGAACGTCCCAAACGTCCCACCACTTTGCATCATCGTTTTGCCAACTCCACCCATCAGTTCTCGTCCTCTCATGCCAATCCTGAGAGAAAAGAAATACAAGAATTGTGTAAAAGATGAAGCCCTGCCAGGTAACAGGCACAGAGGTGGATACACTTGATGCAAGCACCTGATTTTCACATGAGCAGCCCAAATAAAGCATTTTCCCTTTTGTAATTTGAAGTGCTATCTTCCAGTTCCTTCCTGTACCTGGCCTATCACAAAGAAAAGCGGAGCCGTTTTCTTTGGGGCGCGTTGGCGACTCCTGCACCCTGCTGCCATGCCAGGGCAGCAGGGCCAAGGAGCCCCCGGGAGCACCTCTGTGCTCGTGCTTGTGCTCACGCTCAGCTACGCTTGGACCAAAAGAGAGATTCGTGTCTTCTCTGAAAGTTCTTGCAATACTTGGCTTTTAAATACAGCGGTGCACGTAGTGGAATTCTAAGGAATTCTGTGTACCAGATTTTTTAAGGAAGGATTTTCCAAAGCAATGGTACAACACAAGTAACATAGCTGTGTATTAAAAAATAATAAAAGGTTGTTGCTTCTTTATACCATACAAAATGTATTTTCCAGCAGCCTAGCACCACTTACAGATATTCTTCAAGATCTCAAAGGGATCAGGACTTTTAAAAATGGACTAGAATTTGTGCATTTTCATCCTTTTCAGGGGTACTATCAAGTTTTCACCCATTTTTTAATCATAGATTAAACATAAATAAAAAAATCTAAAAATCCCCCAAATCCCAGATTAAAAGATCCCAAATTCAAGTTGCTCTGCAATGCATTGAAGAGTTCCCTTCAGTATTTGACATACACCAAAGCCAGGCACGAAGCACAGCGGAGGCGGAGCGCAGCCTCCCTGTTTGTTCCTGTGCTGACTGGACGCACGAGGGGCGCATGGCTCTTCCCCCTCCCCACGGACAATGAACAGGACGGTGCCACCGGTGCCACCAATTCAGCGCAGGCTCCTGTGCCCAGTCCTCGAGGCTGGCGGGACGGCTGCGTCCATGCGGGGTGCGGGCACTCAGGACACGGTACCAGTTACACATTACTAATCGCTGTTGTGGGAACGCTGGGCCACCCCCCCCGCCCCGTCCCAAAGCGGGCAAAGCCGTTTCTGCCACGTACCTGAGGCAGGAGAAGGTGCCGAAGAGCGCCCCGGCCGCCATGCCCACCGCGAAGCCCATCATGAAGCCCATCTTTATCCTGTCGAAGCAGTTGGGCTGCGACTGCCCGTACGGGCCCACGGTCACAGGCATCTGGGAAGGAAAGCAGAGCTGGATGAGATGGCGCAGGAGTGGACCGAGCGCACTGGCAGCACCGCGCTGCGCGGGGCGGCGCTGCAGCAGCCGCCGGGCGCTTTTATTAGCGAAGGGCCCCGGGTTTCGTCTCGCTGTAGCGGGAGGCAGAGGGGGGAGCGCACGGAGGAAGCCCCGACTCGCGCCCTCGCTCGGCGCTGCCTGCGAGGCCGCTCGCCGGGGCCGGCGGCGACGCGACGGCCCCTCGGAGGCCGCTGCCCGTCCGGGCCTCCCGCGGAGCGACCCGCGGGGGG